GGCCGTTGACGTTCAGTCAGGTATGGCTGCGGACAAGCAGTTCCGCAAGGCTGAGCGTCCGTGGTTGACTGTAGTTGGTGGGAGGTTAATCCCAGCGATTTGGCAGTGATTTTCATCTTTCTGACTTTCTCTAGTACCTCGTCAGTTGACTTGCTAAAGAGGAGCTCGCCCTCGAAAGGCAGATCCTCGACACGAGCTCTCGTGTCTGGGGGCAGAGGAGAGGATCGAAGCCACGAGTGTCTGCGGAGAACTATGGCGGAAGCAATCACCCTGCTTGCTGTATCCGCAGAATGCCTGGCTGCATTGAGCTCCTGTCTAGCTAGCCCTCGGTTTGTACCTGTTTGGCTTGGTCTTTCCTATCGTCAGTCAAGGTCTCCAACAATGGGGTCAACTGTTCCCATAACATAATCTGATATCTGGACATGATAGCTTCAAAGTTAGCTATCCTCAGGGCCAGTGCTCCGGAGGTATAAATCTTTCTCCCTAACAAATCTAGTTTCCTGCCCTCCTTGTCTAAAGGGGAGGATCTCGGACCTTTTATCTGTCCAGACACTATTGAGTTAGGTTGGGGATGACGGTATAAAAAGGGGGCATCCTGTTCCCTGATCTTATAGAGGTTCTTGACCTTCCCAGTAGAACCCTTGACCGAGGACGGTGTTGCCCAGTTATTACGGGTAATTTCCCTAATACCCTTTATCAAGGGAACAGACACTGGACCTGAATTATCGGAGTATAAAACCCCGAAAACTGGATCTTCTTCCAAAGGTTTGGGGGAGACATAAGCAATCTTAAGGGCGTTAAGCATATGAAGGAGCTGTGCGGAATAACCCCGCAAGTCCTCTGTAGGAGATATCGGGGTGGGATCGCCCACGGTCTCATCTGGAGACGAAAGACAGGCGTGCTCTGAGTCCGAGTCAGTGTCGATGCTAGAGGCCTGTTAAGCATGTAGCAGCTCTGGTAGCAAAGCCTCGTCCTGTCCTCCTGGGGACCTGGGACACGCGACAGATGGAGAGCTAGCTCGACCCGTGGCGTGGGTTAGGGCAGGAGGATTGTGCGATGCAAAAGGAGCAGGGTACCAAGGTGGTAAAACCCCTGGGGGCGCGTTCCCCCAATCAGGAAGATAATGCCCTGGAGTGGTCCCTCCTCTCCTGCTGCCGGAAGAGCAAGACCCGGAGGATTCGCGACATGACTGATGGCTGATGACGTCCGGCTCCTGCCTTGAAGGTAGATCTGGGGAGTATACTTGATGATACTCTTCCGAGCCCGACGTCGAGGCGTGTCGACGTCGATCACTCGGAGATCGACGTCTAATCAACTGCGAACGGTTCGACGGTGAAGCGGGTGACGGAGAGGTTCGACGGCCCACCGACATCGAAGTAGCGTCTACGTCGATCGCCATCATGGCCAATGATGTCTGACGTTGATAACACCCTTCTGGGCTCGACGCTGAAGCGTGTCGACGTTGAGCGCTCGGAGAGCAACGTCGAATCGTAGGAGGAGAGGCTCGAAGTTCCGTTGACGTCGAGGCAGCATCAATGTCGAACGCCTCCATGGTTAACGAAGCTTGACGTCGATGACACCCTTCTGGGCTCGACGTCGAAGTGTGTCGACGTTGAGCGCACAGAGAACGACGTCGAATCGATCGTGAACGTCTTGACGTTGAAGCGGTTGGAGTAGAGGTCCAACGGTCCATCGACGTCGAGGCAGCATCGACGTCGATCGCTCCTGTGGCCAATGATGGCTCTGACGACAGCCGCAACGGCTGCGACGGTGTGGCTACCCCAGTGCTGCTCGGAGGTACCTTTGGGGGCTTTGCCTTGCCCGTTTTCGCCCTTTTCGAAGGCGGATGGGCTAAAACGGATCTCATTCGATCCTTCCCTGCCGAGTTGTGCTTCGGCTTATGGGATTTAATAGGCCTCCTAGGAGAGTGCCTCACAAGTCCTGAGGTAGAGGGAGTGCTGGGTCTGACCGACAAAACTTGCTCCCAAAGGGCCACTTTAAGTCTCAGCGCCCTGTCCTTCTTATTTCTAGGAGTTAACATACCACAAACCATACAGGAATCGGTGTTGTGGCCTTCTCCCAGGCATAGGAGGCACTTGAGGTGATCATCAGTGGCAGCCATTTTCGATCCACAATCCTGACATCGTTTGAACAAAGCCATGAAACTGTAAACATTTAAGATAAATTCTTCTGAGGAAAAAACAGCTTTTCTTTTTAATCTTTTTTTACTGAGGTAAGTAGCTGTAGCTCTGGAATACGTCCTTTCCTCACGGCGGCAAAAAAAGGACTGAGAGAGAGAGGTGCCTCCCCCTCCCCTCGTCACGTGACCAAATGGGCGGGAAATGGCTCATTTCACAATCCTCTCCGAGGGGAGGGGGGACTCAATTCTTAGAAGATTGAGGAAGCTCTTGGAATGTTCTTCCGCGGCAGGCCTGCCTTCAGGCAGTCCCATGTGGGACTGCACAGAAGACACGATGATGAACATTTATTGTTGCATGAGCTTTCATAAGCTAAAGTCCTGTTCTAATGGCTAAAGTTGAAGAAAAAGTAAATAAATCAAGCTGACTCATAATTGCAGGACCTCAGTTTTAGCCACAAAGTAAGAGGCTTCTCATGGAAAACTGGAAATATTGGTTCAGTCTTTAGATCTGCATTCAGCATGTAAAATGGATTTGTTTTTTGTTTTTGTTTTAAAAAAGGCAATTTAAACTCACTCCACAAGGAATGGTAATTAGCAAGCTTTGAAATGGAATGTTTGGGGTATGGAGGGGCTGCATTTCTAACTGTAGTGTATAAATAGTTTTTATCTGAACATACTGTATCATCAAGTTGGTAATCTTTATTTTGGAATTTTATTTCTCAAGGGGAAATATTTTTTGTATAAATTTGTCAACACATTTAAAAAATGTACCAAAAATAATTATCAACATTTCCTTCTATATTCCCTTGCAAATTTTAGTTAAATAGCAAGAAAGCACTGGTTGGAGAAACTAACTTCACAGACACGATGAGACATCTGTTTTCATCACGACTGAGTATTTCCGATTGTCCCAACTGCAATTACAGGCGCAGGTAAGCTTATAACTTTTTAACTGTTTTTAACTTCATGATATTAGTGTTTTGGATAACAAATGACAGTGAGTAGCACAAATCGATTGCATTGATCCATTACAAGTGATCAGCTCCCATAAATTGCCTTTGACGTATGTTGCCAATGCAGATATGTACCTTGGTGCACGTTTCATTGTGCACCATGCCTACTTACCTGATCCCTATTGATTTGGCTGGATAAGTGATTTGATGTAAATGAGGATGAAGCTGGCCACCAACTGCTACATGTGACTTGGTGGCTTTCTTCTACAGCTGGAATGTGGCCAGTATGTTTCAAAGGAATTGAATGAGACCTGTAATGCTAATAACATTGTTGCATTTTTAATTCATGAACAGATGTACTTGTGATGACTGCAGCCTTTCTCATATTCTGATGTGTGGAATCATGGATACACCAGTTACAGATGACATCCACAGTAACCAGCTAACACTGCAGATTGATTCTGCTCCCGATTATCTGTCCGAAATCCCCCTACCTAGCCTGTCATCTGGAAGCTCAGGGTCTGGTTCCAGCTCCCCCTTTAATGTACAGCAGGCAGAGAGACCAAGACTCATTCTGGCAGATAATGGCTCCGATCCAGCTTTGTGAGTGCAATCTTCATTAACTTTTCGGTTATAACAAAATGAAACGCTTTGGGATCTGGTTCCCCAGGGCAATACCCAGAAGTTCTAGGTCTGCAGTTGGGCGACTGAGTCATACCCGCGCCCGCTCCCATCAGTTTCTTGTGACAAAGTCCTTTGGAAGCTCAGAAGGGAAACTTGGCAACATCCTTTGGCACATGAAGAATTACATGTGAAAAGGCAACAAAAAGGAAAGCCTGTCCAAAAAAACCACGCACGAAAATACTTGAACAAAATTTAGGTTCTTTGGCTCCCAGCTTTAGAACAATTATGTGTTTTAAAATTAAGGGTGTTGGTTTTGTACATTTTAAAAGACACCCCCCACAGCTTCATAAGGAATTTTAAGGGTATTCAAGGATCAAACTAAAAAGGGAAAAAACCTGAGAGGAGTGAGAAATTGGCGTTCTAATGACTTTTAGTATCATGGAGAAGGGGAATTAAGGTCCCACAGGAGGTGGCCATAGGTCCCGCAATGACCCCGGTCCAGGATTTTATAAGATTTTAAAGTCTCTAGTTTGTTTGTAGCTAAAGGATTTCCAAGGCAGGGTAGGTTTGAAAGAAAAGTGCTTTTTTCTGATCGTAACTAACTGCATCACGAAAGGGACATATTCTGTAACAGCTTATAGTATCCTGAAATTGGGTTTGGTAGCAAAATTATGGTTTGGGGATCAGTACCAGTGTCTGGCCACCCACCCTCGATTTCCCATATGGCATGGAGGTAAAGAATATGCATGTTGTACCACTTATATTCACTTTAGTAAGCAGGAAATTACTCATCTAGCCCTACAGCTCCATTCATGCACTTGGGGGGGGGGATTTCTTATTTTCTTTTACACCTCCACCTTTTCTCCACAATGGGGACCCAGAGTGGCTTACAGTGTTCTCCTCCATTTTATCCTTGCAACAACCCTGTGAGGTAGGGTAGGCTGAGAGCATATGGCTGGCCCAAGATCACCCAGCAAGCTTCCGTGGCAAACCAGGGATTCAGGCCTGTGTCTCCCATATCCTAGTCTCCTAACTCCACTCTGCCCTGGCTCTTAGTATAGATTGACTCCTAGTAACACTTTATGCAAAATTTTCTAATCGTGTACAAATCGTGCCTTACAGTTCCTTTAAAAAGAAGTGACTTGGAATCCAATGGAACATCCCCATTTAAAATTTGGTATCTGAAAAGGTCTTGCTTGACAGTAAGGCAGAGACATATTGTTTCATGTCCATATTGTACTTTGTTTGCATCCTTAATACCCTTGGTTGTGGTATTTTCATTATGTGTTCTTTCTAGTAATTTATTGCTCTTTATCAGGGGTGTCAAACATAAGGCCCAGGGGCCGGAACTGGCCCGTCCAGGGCTCTTATGTGGCCCACAGGCAAGTAGTGCAAGGGAGGGAACACGAGACTGCTGGGGGGAGTGGGCGGAGCCATTCTGATTGTGCCTTCAGCATGGCGGAGCAGCCTTGTCTGCGGCAGTCACACAGCATGGGAGCATCTGCTCAATGCCGCACTGCTGGCTCTCCAGCCCACCCATATGGGTTTTCCTTTGCACCCCCCTCCCAGGCCATGAGGCCTTCCAGTGAGGATACACCAACTCAGAGCTTACCAGCTGCTGTCCTTTATACAGTTTATATCTCCGGGACCTGGCATTAACATTTTATGGCACGCATGGCCCAGCCCAACAAAGTGACATTTTGTGTCAGATCCGGCCCTTGTAATGAACGAGTTTGACGCCTCTGCTCTATATCCCACTACTTGATTGCTCCTTTTATGGTACAGGTTTCGATCTGAAGCCTAGTAGCTTGCGCTGATAAATGCTGAACCTGTCAACGGGTTTCTTTTCGAAGATATCAGATCCAATATTTATTTATGTATTATTTATTAGATTTATAGTCCTCCCTCCCCTGTACAACAGGGCTCAGAGCAGGTGACAAGAGTATTCATATAAACAATATCCATAATTTTGAAATTATTAAAACAATTCTTGCAGTACTACAGGCAGGTGGTAAATTAGGACATAAAAAGGGAAGCACGACATGGCTGCCCCTTATCCAGGGGAGAATAAGTATCATAAGGTAAAGGTAAAGGTTCCCCTTGCTCGAAAGCTAGTCGAATCCGACTCTAGGGTTGCGGTGCTCATCTCCGTTTCAAAGCCGAAGAGCCAGCGCTGTCCGAAGACGTTTCCGTGGTCATGTGGCCGGCATGACTAAACACCAAGGTGCACGGAACGCTGTTCCCTTCCCACCAAAGTGGTACCTATTTATCTACTTGCAATGTCTTGCTTTCGAACTGCTAGGTTGGCAGTTATAAATATCATACAGAATGGTAAATAGAGAATAACCAACATGGGAAGAGGAAAGGGACAGGGGGAAAGGGAGGGAGGTCAGCAAGCCTAGCTGGAAACCATTGCTGTCCTGAAGGACCGCCTCTCCCCGTATGTTCCCCCAAGAGCACTACGATCAGGGAGCCTCCATCTCCTGGAAGTTCCAGGCCCCCGAGAGGTTAAGTTTGCCCCTACTTTCGGTGGCGGCTCCTACCTGGTGGAACGAGCTCCCAGAGGAGATCCGGGCCCTGCGGGACCTTGTGCCATTCCGCAGGGCCTGTAAGACAAAGCTCTTCCGCCAGGCTTTTGAGGAGGAGCCATCGCCGCCACTATCCCACCACCACGATAGTGCTTCATCGTCTGCCCCTATCATGGGGGGCAAGCATCGCCTGGCAGAAGCGCATAGAACAGCGCTGCTGGAGACCGCGCTATTGAGACAGCTGGCCGCCGAATTGGGTTCATTGTTCCCATCTTGGGTGATTTACATAGGAAGATCAGAGCACCTTGATTATTGTATGGTTTTTATTGTGGTTTTAATGTTTATTCTATTGTATTTTATCTATTCAACCCGGCTTCGCCGCATGTTAGCCACCCTGAGCTGTTGGGAGGGCGGGATACAAATCTAAAATAAATAAATAAATAAATAAACCATTGGCCTGGTCTTACAGGCCCTGGAGAACCACATCAGATGAAGAAGAAGAGAGTGGATCTGTACCCCGCCCTTCACTACCCAAAGGTGTCTCAGAGTGGCTTACAGACTCCTTTCCCTTCCCCTCCCCACAACAGACACCCTGTGAGGTAGGTGGGGCTGAGAGAGCTCTGACAGAAACTGCTCTTTTTTCAAGGACAGCTCTTATCAGAACTACGGCTTGCCCAAGGTCATCCAGCCAGGTGCAAGTGGAGGAGTGGGGAATCAAACCCGGTTCTCCCAGACTGGAGTCCGCGCACTTAACCACTACACCAAACTGGCTCTCGATCTCACTTGGCAGAGAGTTCACCAGGCTAGGGCTGAAAAAGCCCTGGCTCTGGTTGAGGGCAGCCGGATATTTTTCGGGCCAGGGCTCACCACTAAGTTGTTATCCCCACTGAGTGTTAAGCTCTTTGGAGGGTATACCAGGAGACGCAGTCCTATAGATATGCTGGTCCCCAGACCATTTAGGACTTTAAAGGTTAATACCAAAACCAGTGTTCCCTCTAAGCCGAGTCGGTGTGAGCTAGCTCACAGTTTTTTAGCCTCTGGCTCACGCATTTTTGTCTTCGCGCAGGAAGGAGGGCTCCAGAGCAGACTAATTTATGCAGCAGCCAAGTGGCTCGCTCACAACTTTAGTGCCAGTAGCTCACAAAGTAGAATTTTTGCTCACAAGACTCCACTGCTGAGAGGGAGCATTGACCAAAACCTTGAACCTGATTCGGTATTTGACATGGAGCCAGTGCAGCTGGTGGAGCACGGATTGAATATAGGCTCTAAATGGGGTTCCGGTAAGAACACGTCCTGCCGCATTCTGGACCAGCTGGAGTTTGCAGGTCAGCCTTAAGGGCAGCCCTGGGTAATTCCCCCCCCCAAAAATTATAATTTTGGTAGGCAAAACTTAAAAAGTAGCAGCCACATTGTTTCTAAATGAAATTTCCTACCTGTAAAGTAATAGGAATCATGCATTTCAACTTTGCTTCTGTTGCTATTGTCTGATGGAGCCTTTTATAGAAATAAGGCTTTTTCTTTGCAGTAATAGTGAAGATGAAGATGTGGCACCACTATCAGCAAAACTTACTGATATTTACTCCTTCAATAATTTTGATAACACGGACATTGTCAGGAATGTTGATGGAATCCACAGTGAACTGAATGGTGGAGCTGAGAACCTGACATTGAAATATGAGGTACTGTTATTTCGAAATACGTTTCATAACGTTTGTCTGATGAACTCCAGTGGAACCCGCACTTCATCTTTTGCCTTTAAACTATTTAGCACTCTCTCCGGGGAAGCAGTACTAGTAGCAGTTCATCAGAAGATGATGCTGAAGAAGCAGATCCTGAAAATGGTAGTGAACTGCCAAGAACTTCAGAGGGTGATTTGATGCTTGGCGAAAATGTGCCAAGGGAAGGGGAAGCCAAAAGGGACAGTCCTTTGCCGTCATACACCGCTCAGCAGGTACAGCTAACTTTGTTCTTTGGACTGTTGTAAATGAACTTTGAAAACACATTCGTTTGTGTGTTCTTACAAATTTGATGTTGGAAATGGGGGCTTTGTCAGGCTTTAGCCTCACTGGCCACCCCCCCCCCCCCGGCTGCGTCTCCCAGTTGTCTTCCTGTCCTCAGTGTGAGCATTGTTTATAATGTGCCATCCAGTCTTAATTAAAAAGTTGTTGGGAGAGAGTTTAAACTGCTTCTTTTACAATGCCAAATGGAAGCACCCACAACTTGGCACCCATTTTATTAATTGTAATTTATATTCTGCCTCTCAGTGAATATTTCTGTAATGGATGCCGCTAATTTGCCCGGTTATCCAGGTGGTGGATATTCTTCAGAGGATTAGCACTGTCCTGGGCATCAGCCAGTGGCATAGCATGTAGGCAGAGAGGTTTCTAAAAAGCAGCCAATAAGGGGAAATAGTCTTCCTTCTCTTCTACAAGAATAATTTTATTTTGATTTTCTCCCACTTGCTTTACTCTGTATATTCAGTCCACTGCTGAGGCATATTGCCTTTTCTCTGTAAAGCACTGCAGAAACCCACTCCTTGCTGTGACTGTCACCTTCACTGCAGCAGTCTTCTTTCCGTGGCCTTCCATTGTCACATCTTCTAATTAAATCACTACTGCCTGTTCAGGCCTCGTTCCTGTCTGTTCAGACCTTTTTCTTTATATCCCTGTGTTGGTTTCCTGTCCTCTCCCATACTAATCACAACCTTATAACGTCAGAGCTCCGTGTTGGCCTTGCCTTCTCTGTCACTTTGCACTCCCATCCTGAAAGTTCTTTGCTTGCTCTTCAGTCCTTTAACTGCTTTCACCCACCTGAAGTTCTCTTCCTCATCATTCTGTCACATCTTTCATTACCCATACTCTGTTTTTTCCTTCCTATGTCAAAATCAGGGCAATGATATATTTTTTGTTTCTGTTACTTTCCAAAACAGCATGTGCATTATAAACACTGTTCCACTCACCCACACACACACACGAATTCACAGCAGACAGTGTAGAATAGCATGCACACTGTTACTCTCTCTCTCTCTCTCACACACGCACACGCACACGCACACACAAGAATGTGCAGTAGACAATGGTAGAATAGCATGCATACTATTACACTAGCATGCATACGCACACATACTAGAATGCACAGCAGACAGTGTAGAAGAGCAATGTCACATTAAGTGAAGAATATGTTTTTTTCTGCTCAAGTATTGTTTTCCTTGAGTGAAATTGTTGGTAATATTTTTTTTTTCAGATACGTATAGTAATTGTGTTCACTTTCTGATCAGCAATGAATAAGAAACTAAATTATTGGTCAGTTGAGTTATTTATAGCTGATTTCAACAATAATCTGTGTGATATTATAAGCATGCAAAACCTAATTATTTTTGTAATGTCAGACTTAGGATTTATAGTTTAAATTTAGGAAACTTGCTGAACACTTTTTTTTCCACCAGAGGCTGCAAAACCATCGTTCATACAGAGCTTGCTATTCTTCTTGTTGCCTTTACTAGAGAGATTCTTGTGAATTCCTGCATTCATATGTATGACTTCAGTGGCTGTATTCTGTCAGGTGTGCTCCTATTTATGGAAGAGGCTTCGCCACTTGATTTGACGCTGTTTATTATTTTGAAATGTAAATACCCCTTCAGTTAACCTAACAAGTTGTCATAGCTACCTTATCAGTAAGAAAAATCCCTTCCTTCAATTCCTATCAAAATGTTAGAGTGTAAGCTCTATGGGGTGGGGGCCTGCCTTATTTCTTGTGACTTACCATTTATTGGAACAGATAGTTTGGAGACTGGGTACCACAGAAACGCATACGTTTATGTATTTCTTTCCTTTTTTATCATGTCAGGGCCTTGAAATTTTATCTCACTGATCAAATTTGATGCCAAAGGTACAGACCAATGACTACACCACAGCCTTACCTGAACAATAGTTTAAAGAGAGGGTGTAACTCATATAAAGTTAATGTGGCTTTAAGTGATTTTATTTAAAAAATGACACATTCTGATATTTTTAAAAAAATTACTGAAGCAACTTGTAATTTTTTCTGTATGATTTGGGTTAAGCACTCTGCTTTTTTTTAATTACTTGCAGGCTGATCAAGGTTCAATTTGTTGTGAATGCCATGTCTGTAAACAGGAAGCCTCTGATGCTGAAACAAGATGTCTTCCTGCTGGGCATCAGTTTAGGATCCCAGAAAATCCTGCCCATCCTGCTCTTCACCTTTACCCTCATATTCATGGACAAATACCTTTGCATACTCTTCCTCACTTACCTCCTCCACTGCTCCATCCCTCATTATATGCAGCTTCCTCCTCTACACAGAGTAAGGTAAGCAGTTGTCCACAGATTTCCAGGAAACAATTTCTATGCAGCTGCATTTGACCAGTTAAACATAAGTTACTTGCTCACTCAGCAAATGCTATCAGATATTACTTGGTGAGACACAATTTATTAACATTGCAGATATTTTGCAGATCTTTAAAAAATAGCTGCTGAAACTCTTTTAAAACAAAAGCACACGAAACTTAATTGAAATGCAGTTGTAGCATTTCAGTAACATTAATATTGTGTTGAGACCATAATTTTAGGTAAGGAAGGATGGCTCCAGAGCAAACTAATTGATGCAGTAGCCAAACGGCTCGCTCACAACTTTAATGCCAGTAGCTCACGAAGTAGAATTTTTGCTCACAAGACTCCACAGCTTAGATGGAGCATTGGTGGGGACCCAAAGTGGTCTGGGTGCAAAAGAGATTTCAAGCTGCACCAAAGGCTTCTGGAACAAAGAAGCAAAAAATGCCTCCTTGTGATATTAAAGTCAAAGAAGACCGTGGTGTATAGTTGTGTAACCTCCAGGACTTAGAAAAGCTCAAGGAAAATTATTAGATCTTTGGTGACTTTGTTCGTGACCTCACAGGAAAGGAGGTTCTACCATTCTCCTGGGTTTTTTTTAGAAAGATCAACCTGAAGCTGTTGGCCCCTCTCCCCCACCTGAATAGGATGCATGTACAGATTTCCTCTTGTGAACAATGTTGTCCTCTTGCCACAGTGTCAGATTAACATTTTCTGAAAAGAACAAGCAATCTTGAATAACCCTTGATTATATTTCCAGTTAAATCCTATGACAAAACACATCTAAGCAACCTGCTAGTATAACAGTACACTACACTCAGGCCTTAGACAATACTCTCCATTTACTTGGGCTCTGAAATCAATGCTCTCCCTGTTCTCTCATGATCGTTGATATCCTTGAACCAGTTCTGCTCTTCATACAGGAACCACGTCTGGCACTGTTATTTTCCTTTCTTTTTAAACCATTTCTGTGGATTATTTTATGGAGTACACATCCCAGGATTTTGCCAAGAAACTCAGCTAGATGAGAGGCAGGTCTCGGTAAAAGTGTTTTACCTGTGGTTTACCACAGATGCTCTTGTGCAGATTTGAGTGCTGAGAAGTCCACTGACATCTTAAATAGCAGATCTCCTCTATGCTTGCCTGCCAAACCTTGTGACTGACAGAGTCCTAAGGAAGACATATTAAGACGTCGTATTAATTGCTTCACATCGACCCAGATGGCCAGAACTTGTATCCTACTAGTCCAGTGGTGGCGAACCTATGGCACGGGTGCCAGAGGTGGCACTCAGAGCCCTCTCTGTGGGCACACGTGCCATCGCCCCAGCCAGGCCCAGACCATCATTAAAGTGTCGAAGTCTCTGCCAAATAATTTTAAGAAATGAAAGCATTTGGGATTGCTTTCCTTCCTTTGTTTGGATCATCTTAAGTTAATGTATGAGTTGTTTTTTTCTAAAGTAAAACCTCAGTATTCAGGTTAAATTGCCATGTTGGCACTTTGCAATAAATAAGTGGGTTTTGGGTCGCAGTTTGGGCACTCGGTCTCTAAAAGGTTCGCCATCACTGTACTAGTCTGTTCAGCAAAGTTTTAAGTTCTCCTCAATCGCAGCATTTTCCCATGAATGTGACCAGTGATTTTGAGTGGATGCAAATAAGAAGAATGTTAATTAGAAAATACTGTTGTTGTAGGCACTGGTCCAGAATTATACAAACAAGTATCAGGTACTCAGTACATCACTCCAAGATCATATATATCCAAGTTGTTTTGGGAATACTCCAGACTGGAAAAATTCTAAATTTCTAAGCATTTGGGGATCAGAAGTCATGAATGACAAGAACTGGAATTCCTCTGCCTTTTTGCAAGATGTGCTTCCTGGTAAGGGTAAGTTCTGCTTCACTCTAAAAAGTTGCATTTTGATTCTAGGTATTGAAGTCGTTTTGTTCTTGACTGAGCAAGATTTACTTTCTAGATTCTCTTTTGGGGGTGTTAATTGTTAAACAATATGAGAGAAGAGATCCGAATTGAAGAAATGTCTGTGATAATTACATTCTGGCATTGTCAGAATTTAGCAGAGATTGAGCTGTAGGTCAGAGGAAACAGTAGAGTATTTCATCAGAACTTTAGTAACAAAATGTAAAGAAAAAATGGTTCCAGACCTGTGTAATGACTGGTAATCATTTCTTTCTTTCTGTGTGATGTTGGGAGAACATGCAGTGGTGATGAACTGTATTTAGTTGTGTAAATAGAGCATATTCATTCAAAAGACATGAAGATGCAAAACTACATAATTTGCAGCTTCAGTATGTACATATTCTGGTCTATTGTAAAGTCTGTGCTGATGTTTGTTTGTGAATAGAATTTTTATCAAAGATACGAGGTCTTATAAATAGCCACAATCTAACGCAGGATTAGATACGCTTAGGCCAATGTGTTTCTACCAATTATTTAAGAGTTCAAATCACTGCCTGTGTTTCTAGGCTGGGGCTTTGCTGGCCACTGCCATGTGACTTCAGTCCTGTTACTGGAGGAGGGAAGCGAGGTGCTCAGGAAGGGCACCATCCTTTGCGCTTTGCCAGAGGAGTGTTTCAGTGGTCCTGCATGCCTGCTTGTGGCTCAGAGTTCTTCCTTCCTTTTTATATTATTATCCAAAGCAACCGGGATGGAATGTATCTGAATGGGAAAAGGATAGTTGGGGAGAAGCTCAATTGCTTCCCCACTTCAGCACAAAATTGTCTTCGCCAGGTTGGTTTTTTCTTCTTTGTGAAGGGAGAGATGGACCGATCCTGTCTCTTTCTCCCTGCATCTGAAAAAGCAGCTTGCTAAAGGGAGTTTTGGGGGGGCTGGCAAGCAACCAGAGGAGAGATGAACAACCTTTCTGCAGCCAGAGACACAAAGTACTGGAATGAATGTCCTGTAGCAGATAATCATTCCT